CGCCTCGGGCCCGCGAGCGCGGGGCGAGGCGCGGCCCGGGCGCTGCGCGAGCCGCGGTGCCGACCTGGGCACCGCGCGCGCCCCCCCCCCCTCGCGGCCCCGCTCGGCGGGCGCCTCCTCGAGCCTGGCGCGCCCGGGGCCCCCAGCTCCCCTCTCGGGGGGCCCGGATGTCCACAGACGTGTCCACCCCGCAGGTCCAGAGATCTGGCGCCTCGAAGAAATCGAGGCAGAGGTCTTTCATCGTTTTCGGCCTCTCGGGGCCCTTACCGGGCCTCGGGACCGTCAAAAAACGACTCGGGATGAAAAGCCGGTCCCGGGGAAGTGGTCGAGAGGTCGGGGGCCCGCGTCTCGCAAAAATCGAGACGCCGGATGTCTGGGTGTGTTTATACAGACGTCACGGCACCCAGTTTGTCCATGAGCGCCTGTGGCCAGAACGTGAGATCGGTACTTGGTGTCGGCCTCAGCTGTTGGCCTCTTGGAAACAGGTCGACTTCGCAATCCAAGCCGGGGCCCGGGGCCCCCGCGCCCCCGCGGCCGCGGCGCAGCCCGGCTGCGCCCGCCCGCCCGCTGCGAGTCCTTGTCTGCGAGGCAGCTGTCTGACTACGGTCAAGTGGGGGGTGTCCCTCCACAGGAGGAGTCTGCAAAAATGGTCAACAAAAATAGTCAGGGGACTTTTTTTGGCCTATTTTAGGATATTTCTTGACTATCTGTCATTTTTCTTTCAAAATTCGCCTGTGGGAGGACATGCCCGACCTAAGACTATGGCGGTCTTCGTCATTCTTCCGACTCCTGCTCCTTCCCCTCGCGTTGGATACAAACCGTCTGCGGCAAGCAGCAACGAATCCACCCGGTGAGCGGCAGGCCGGCCTGCGGCGCATCATTTTTGTCGGCAATGATTCTCTTTTCTTGCTGCTTCACCCTGCCTGCAGGGATTTGGTCTTTCTGGGCGCTTCGGCCCTACCCTGCAGCATCCGCGCGGTGCACGACGTAGGCCGTGTTCGTGCCCGTGTCCCAGGGCGGCGGGCTGCTTTTCTCGCGCTCGCTCGATCCCGGGGTCCTTTTCGACTACACGTGAAGAGTGGCCCTTCACGCCGGAGGGACCAGTCGCGAAGGGCGATGCGATAGCATCCGGTCGGGCGTGCCCATCTACAGGAGGAACACCCAACAAAAACAGTCAAACAATAGTCTGGGGGCGAGTTGTCGATTCTTTTAGTCTTATGACCCTGTTTGAAGATTTTCTGATTATTTTTGATGCTTCTCCGAGCAAATCCGCCCGTGCAGTCAACCCGCGTAGAAAGGATGGGCAGCCCTCCCAAGGGTACCCTTGCATCCCTGCCTCCCTGCCTCCCTGGCCCATCCCTGACCACCTTCACTGGCCGCGACCCGCTCGCAGAGCCTCCAGATTGGCGACCAAGGCCCTTGCATACTTCTCGCGCACCCTTACTTTGCGGGTTGACTGTAGGGTTTAATCGGGCCCGTCCCTCTACAGGAGGAATATTCAAGAATAGTCAAAAAATAATATGGAGATTTTTTTTTAGTATTTTTTTGACCATTTTGGAACATTTGTTGAATATTTTTTTGGTTTCGTCGAAAGTCCCCCTGTAGGATAACACGCCCGACGTAACTGCAGGGTGACAGGCCCGACCCAACGACGGCAGCGGCGGCCCTGCGTGCTCGGGCCTGCCTCCCCCCCGGCCTCCCGCGGCCCCCCGCAGGGGGCCGCGCACCGGAGGCCCCACTCCTGCCCCCGGGGGTTTCGGGACGCTCCGGCCTCCTTTCTTAGCCCTGATTCGTGGAAGTCTCGGAGGTGGATAGACCTCCTACCCTGACACGTCGATTAGTGAATTGGCCGTTTTCGGTTCGCGAGAGGGCGTTGCGGCCGTCATTTTTGCGGGTCCAGGTCCGTCGGTTTCGGCCCCAGGCCCTTTTCACTAAGGGGAGGTTTACTAAAGGGAGGTTTGTCCACCGCCGAAAGTCGACCAGTGGCGAGGAAGCATGCTGCCGAACAAATTTCCAGACGTCCCAAAGAGGCTTCGGACATGTTTTGAATACGTGAAAAAACAGGTTTGAGGCATTTTTAGAACAGGTCCTGCACAGTTTAAGCACGTCTCACGTCTTTCATTCAATGATAGGAATGTTAGAGTGTCCCTTGTCATGGCATCCACAAGCTTTGATCGCCAGCAGGAAATTCTCGGAGGCTGCCAGACCTCCTGATCACGCCTTCGCTGGGAAGGGCCGAGCGGGGGGGGGGGCGAGGATGGGGAGGGAACAAAAATGAAAAGAAGAGGAGGAGGTGGAGGAGGGGGGGGAGGAAGACGAGGAGGAGGAGTGCGAGGAGTGCGGGGAGTAGGAGCAGGTGTAGGAAATATGGGACACCCTGACAACTCGATTAGCGAATTTGCCGTTTTCGGTTCGCGAGAGGGCGTCGCGGCCGTCATTTTTGCGGGTCCAGGTCCGTCGGTTTCGGACCTAGGCTTTTTCCGCTAAAGGGAGGTTTACGAAAGGGAGGTTTGTCCACCGCCGAATTTCGAGCACCAAGAAAGTACCGAAACTTGAGGGTTTTCACGTGTCGGGCCCTGGAGGCGATACTCGTTCGACACTGTTTCGATACCTTTCTGGGTGCTCGAACTTATTTCTGGGATGTGGTCCTTAAGTGCGATGGGAGCAACACAGCCCAGGGGTCACTCTTGCGTGCAGCCGATCGTTTCGACGCCTCAGCATCGATTTGCGTGTAGCCGATCAGTTCGACGCCTCAGATCCGATTTGCGTGCAGCCGATCGTTTCGACGCCTCAGATTCGATTTACGTGTAGCGGATCAATTCGACGCCTCAGATTCGACTTGCGTGTAGCCGATCAGTTCGACGCCTCAGATTCGACTTGCGTGCAGCCGATCAGTTCGACGACTCAGATTCGAGCCGGTTCGATCTGGACGGCTGCCGAGTTCGATTCGATCCGGTTTTTGGTTCCGATTCGGGTTCCGACTTCTCGGGAGGCAGACAGCTGGCCTGCCGATTCCCGCCGAGTCGGCTTCCCCCGACTCGGCTGCCGATCTCCACCGAATCGATCCACTTGCATCGCCGATCCGATCCATCGATTCGATTCTGGGCTCTCCTGGTTCGATCACCAGGGTGGGCCCTCTGTGATTGATAATCACGTCGGTGCACTCGCCTTGAGGATTCTGGCGTCGCCGCGGCGGGCGTCGTCGAGGCTTCTTCTGCCCTTCTGCGCCTCGCTCGCCGAGGGCGTGGGCTCAGTGCCGTGAGCGCGCACGGCCCCGAGGCTGGCTCCCGCCCCGCTGCCACGGTTCCCGCAGTCCGCCTCGTGGCAGGCTGACCTCTTCGGCCACCGCCCACCAAACCACCCCAACCGGAGGGTTTCTCCGAAGGGCTTAGGCGACCCGTGCTCCTCCTCCTCCTCCCTCCTCCTCCCTCCTCCTCCTCCTTCTCCTCCTCCTCCTCCTTTTCCTCCTCCTCCTCCTCATCCATCTCCTCCTCCTCCTCCTCCTCCTCCTCCTCCTCTTCCTCCTCCTCCTCCTCCTCCTCTTCTTCCTCCATCTCCCCTTCCCTCCCCTCCTCCACCTCCCTCCTCCTCCTCCTCCTCCTCCTCCTCCTCCTCCTCCTCCTGGGGTCGCCTTCGGCCCCGGGGGAAACCGTGCATCTCCAACCCAACCCGAAGGCCCCAATGTGCCCTCCTTTCCCAGCGGGAGTGTGTCGGGGAACATCGACAAAAACACGTGCGGAACCCGTCCCCCCCCCCAACCCGACATTCGGGTAATCATTCGTTTTTTTTTTTTTTGTTCGCAAGCCCGCCCCCGTCTTGGGGGCCGCCACCGCCTGTCCTTCTCGCACGTGCCGATGCCGCCCAGCCGGCCTGGCTGCCCAGGCCCGTCTTGGGCCCCTGCCGCCGCCGATCCGTTGGGAACCGGCGCCGCCCCCAGCCTTGCAGCTTGTGACGTTCGGCTCCAGCTTCGGATCCCGCGTCTTGCAGGACACCGCCAGAGCGTGCTTCCCCAGCATGCCCTTCTCGTACGCGCTGGTCCCGGCACTGCTGCTGATGACGCTCGGCACCGGCTTCGAATACCGCGTCTCGCTGGAGAGCGCCAGAGCCCGCTGCCGCAGCATGCCTATCTCGCCCGCTCCGCTTCCGGCACTGCAGCTAGGATGGCGCCAGAGCGCGCTGCCGCAGCGTGCCATTTCTCGCATGCGCCGATCCTGGCACTGCCGCCGATGACGTTCGCCTCCATCTGCGGGTTGGGTTGCGGTGGTCTGGTAGGTAATCCTTCTGCCCCTTGCCCAGCCAGCCTCGCCCTCTGCGCGCCCACGCCGCTGTGGCTCCCACCCGCCCGACGTCGCCGCCTCCGCCCGGCGTCCGTGTCGGCCCCGCGCCGCTCCGCCCTCGCCTCCCCGCCTCCTCTCGCTGGCGTCCGCCCCGGCGTCGTGCGCGGCCGCACCCCCGTTCATTGGACCCTCTGTGCCGGTCGCCTTGGCCCCGCCTGCTGGCGCTCCGCTCTCCGTGCCGGCTTTCCCCGCCGGCCCCGCCCCGCTGGGCGCGGCCTTCGCCGCCCCACCGCCCGCTCAACTCTGGCGCGCTCCTTGCCCTGCGCCGCCTCCGCCCGCCCCCCGCCCGCAGCCCGCAGCCCTGGCTTGGAGTGCGAAGTCGACCTGCTCCTAGAAAGCCAACGTCTGGGGCCGATGCCAAGTACCGTTCTCACGTTCTGGCCGCAAGCGCTGATGGACACACTGGGTGCCGTGGCGTCGGAATCCGCGGCCGCTGCGCCCGGCGCAGCACAAGGTCGGAGAACGGCTAGACCCGTCCACAGGATGTTCCTGCTCTGGAGCAGGTCCCACTTGGTGCTCCGAGCCCTGGCCCCGCCGCCCTGGCCTCGCCGCCGCTCGCCCGGCCTCCGCCCAGCTCCCGCCGGCCCGGCCGCCGTTGCTGCCACGGGCCGGTCCCTTCGCTTCTCTTCTGGCGCGCGCGCGTCGGCGAGCTCCCTGGGCGCCATGGAGGTGCCTCGGGCCGCTGCCGCTCGAAGGTGTGCGGGCACGCCGACGAGTCCCAGCGGAGCTGCGTCCCCTTCTCCCTGGGCGAATCTCCGTCGATTCTGCTTGTCGCCATCGGCCTGGGCACCACCGCCGCGGCCGACGGCGCGCAGCTCTGCCCGACTTCGTCCGGCACGCTCACCGTGCTGGCCTCGCCTGCGAGCGGCCCGTGGCCAGTGGAAAGAGCATTTTCTTTTGCGGAGCTGGGCGCCCTGGCGCGGACGGCCGAACGACCCCCGCAGCGGGACACCCTGGCAACACTGTTGCCGCCGCAAAAACTGCTCGTTTCACGCTGGTGCCGCGCAGAGGCGGCGCCGAACAGACTGCGCCGCGCACGCTCGCGCGCGCCGAAGGCACTTTGGAAGTACGCGGCGGGACGCGGGCCCCTTGCTGATCCCCGTCGCCCCTCCCGCGTCCTCGGGGGCAGGGCCCCCGCTGCCGCGCCCCGTCCAGGCCCCGAGGCCGCGGGCCACAAGCCGCGGGCGCCGAGGCGCCACGCCTTCGGCCGCAGCGATGGCCTGGGCGTGGAGGGTTTCTCCGAAGGGCTTAGGCGACCCCTCCTCCTCCTCCTCCTCCACCTCCTCCTCCTCCTCCTCCTCCTCCTCCTCCTCCTCCTCCTCCTGTTCCTCGGGTCGCCTACGGCCCCGGGGGAAACCGTGCATCTGGGCGATCCTCTTGCCGCCGCCCTGGTCCAACGTCGCCCTCAAAGGCCCAGCCGTCGCCGTGCTCACCGCGGCCTGGGCGGCCCTCGCCGCGAGAGCCGGGCGGTCGTTTTTTTTTTTTTTTTTTTTTTTTTGTTGTTCTCTCTCTCTCTCTCTCTTCTTCGTGGCGATGCCCTCCCGCAGGCACAGCCCTGGCAACCCGCCCTTCGCGTGTCCACGACGGGGACCTCCAGGCGCACCCGCACCAGGGGCTTCTGCCGCGACCCAGCCTGCGGGCCGATTGGGCCCCTTTAGCGTGACGCTGTCGCTCGCATGCCGGGCCCTTCGGCGCCCTCGCGACGCTGTCGCTCGAGGCGCACAGGCGCCCTCGGCTTCGGCGCCGCGGACGGCGCGGAACCGACGTTTCTACCAGTGGCGTCCGTGCAGGCCCGCGCTCTTCCGCCTGCGGGCGCGGGACCTTCCATCTGGTCGTCCAAGCGGATGCCGTCTCGGCGATCGGACCGGTGCCGTCCATGATGATTTTTCCCCCGCAGACACGCCCAACTGCCTGTGCCACCAGCGCGCTTCCCCCGACCGCCCCGACGTCGCCATGCGCCATCCCTCTGGGAGGCCAGGCCCTCTCGGGCTCGTCAGGCAGCCCGCGCGCTTCTGCGCGGCGCTCGTGGTCCTTCGATGGCAGGGCCGCTGCCTGCCTCCCACGGCCGACCCATAGGTTCGGCAACATCCTGGAACCCGTAGGGTATGATCAAGAGCATCATCGTTCAAGAAACCTGTGCCAGATTTCTGGGAGTTTCCTAGAACAGACCTGGGCCAAGTGTTCGTGTTCACGCTGGAGGGGCGAACGCTTGAGAAACTGGGCCAGCTTTCCAGCAAGCTCGTTAGGGAACGCTGGCCCAGCTTTTCGGGAGGATGTTTCTTAATCAGATGCTCGGCTGTATTTGCCTTCTCACCCACAGTGCAGGTCCCACCATCGCGTGGCGGAGGGCGGTGGCACACGCCAGCGGCAGGTCATATACACCGATGACAATGCCGTCGGGGCGCTCGGGGCGGTTCTGCGCGCGTGCAGACACTTGGTATACACCGCCCCTCCTGTGTCAGCAGTGCCGACCAGCCTCACGCTCCAGTCCCCGGCCACCGACGTCTACGGGCTCACGCATCATCCTGGTGCTCTCGACGCCCTGGCTGAGTCTAGGCCGTGCCATCCCCCAGCGGTCCCCGACTCCCGTGCTCGCTCTGGGTCGACCGCGGCACTGGCGGCCCCGCCCTCTGCCACGCCGACGGATGCGGCAGCTCTCTCGGGGGGGTTGGCGTACCGCGACGGCACGCCGCACTGCTGCGCGACGCCTCTCGCCCGCCCCCCTTGCGGGCGACCCCGACCGCCCGCGTGACGACTGCAGGTCATCAAGGCGGGCCCCGCGAGAAGAGCGGCCGGCTCGGCGCCAGCGGCAAGCCCACCGCTTTCGGCTGTTTTTTTTTTTTTTGCGGCCCGTCGGGCCGCAGGCGCGGGCGCGCCCTTCGAACGGCGGGGAGGAGAGGGGGCCTCTGGGCTGCGTCGTCTTCCATGGCGGCCGCCGCGGCCGTCTCCGGCTCTTCGCTGGGCTTCCACTCTGCAGCGAGACGGCATTTGCTCGGAGCTCGGAGGAGCCGGCGGCGCAGCGTCGGCTGGGCCTGCCCGCGGTGCTGCGGGCACTTGCGGCGCACCAGCACCGAGGAAGTTGCCCTCGTGCTCCACGCCTGTCCAGCGGAGATCTGTCCCTGTCCTGGATCCTTCTTTTGCCATTCTCTCTCTCTCTCTCTCTCGCCTCCGTGCTCCTGTCCCCGTCCGCCTTTCTCCCTCGTGCGTCCTCCCTCCTCTCCTCTCGTTTCTCCTTTCTTCGTCCTCCCCTCCTGAACTTCAACTTGCCTTCCCAAGCCGTTCTGTCTCGTGCTGGTTTGGCCCATGGCCCATGGCCTATTGGGATGCTGGGCATTCGACGAGTACCCGGCCAGGCGCCTCTTCTTTCGAGGTGACCACAGGGAGGCTTGTGACGACAAATCACTGGACTGTCGCGCTGCGCTTGTTCCGCGAAGTGCCCAAACGGCGCGCGAAAGCCAACTTAGGCCACTACATTGCGACCGTCAGCGCATGTGGAAAAGGCGGGCAATGGCGATGGGCGTTGTCTCTACTCGGCGAAATAGTTGAAGCAAAGTTGGAGGGCAACGTCATCAGCTACAACGCTCGCATAAGCGCGTGCGGGCGAGGGAAGCAGTGGAGGGTTTATCCGAAGGGCTTGGGCGACCCGTCCTTCCTCCTCTTTTCTCCCCCTCCTCCTCCACCTCCTCCTCCTCTCTCCTCCCCCTCCTCTCTCCTCCTCCTCCTCCTCCTCTTCCTCCTCCCCCTCCTCCTCCTCCTCCTCCTCCTCCTCCTCCTCCTCCTCCTCGGGTCGCCTACGGCCCTGGGGGGAACCGTCCAGGAAGCAGTGGCAGCGAGCTCTGTCGCCGCTCCGCGAAATGTTGGCAGCGAAGTGCGATCCAGACGTCATGCCTGCTACGAGGCCTTGGCCTGCGCGTGCCGAAAAGACGTCTGGGGGCCCTCCCAGGCGGGTCAGGAGGAGGAGGAGGAGGACGAGGAGGAGGAGGAGGAGGAGGAGGAGGAGGAGGAGGAGGAGGATGAGGATCAGAAGGAGGAGGAGGAGGAGGAGAAGCAGGAGGAGAAGCAGGAGGAGGAAAAGGAGGAGGAGGAGGAGGATGATGATGATGAGGAGGAGACGGAGGAGGAGAAGGCGGAGGGCGGCGGAGTAGGAGGAGTAGGAGGAGGAGGAGGAGGAGGAGGAGGAGGAGAAGAAGGAGGAGGAGAGGAGGAGGAGGAGGTGGAGGAGGAGAAGGAGGAGGAGGAGGAGGGTCCTCGGAGCCCCGCGCTGGGCCCGGCGAGACCCCGAGCCTCCCCGGAGGCGGGTCGGGGTTGCCCTGGATGCCTTCAAGATAGCCCAGCACACGGCCTTAAGGATGGCCCAAGATGGCGTTCGGACAGCCCAGCAGGGCCTCGGGGATGGCCGAGCAGCACGGCCTCCTCACAGCTCCGGAGGCCCCGAAGTCGGCCCAAGGGGGCTCCGAGAGGCCTTTTCGGAATGCCCGAGGCGGGCACGTCAACTATCTCTCTGTATGTGTATTGATGCACAAGTGTATATACATACATACACATATATATACACACATGCACTTGTCTGTATATACACAGATATGTATGCATGTCTGTATGTATGCATATATGCATACATGCATACATGCATGTATGCATGTATGTATGCATGCATGCATGCATGTATGCATATATCGATGTATGTATGTATGTATGTATGTAAGTCAGTGTGTGTCTGTCTGTCTGTCTGTCCGTCTGCCTGCCTGCCTGTATGCATGCATGCATGTATGTACGTACGTATGTATGTATGCATGCATGCATCTATGCATGTATGCATGTATGCATATATATATATATATATATGTATATGTGTATATATGTATGAATGTATGCTTGTATGTATGTATGTATGTATGTATGTATGTATGTAGGTATGCATGTATATGTGTGTGTATGCATGCATGCGTGTGTGTATGTATGTACGTATGTATGTATGTATGCATATATGTATGTATGTATGCATGCATGTATGCATGTATGCATGTATGCATGTATGTATGTATGCATGCATGTATGTATGTATGTATGTATGTATGTATGTATGTATGTATGTGTGTGTGCATGTATATATGTATGTATGTATGTATGTATGTATGTATGTATGTATGTATGTATGTATGTATGTATGTTGTATGTATGTACGTATGTACGTATGTACGTATGTACGTATGTATGTGTATATATATATGTATGTATGTATGCATGTATATATATATATATGTACGTATATACGTATGCATGTAATTATGCATGTATACAGGCATGCCTGCATGTATGTATTTATGCATGCATGCATGTATTTAAGCACGCATGTATGTATGCATGCACGCATGCGTGCATGCATGCATCTAGGTATGTATGTATGTATGCATGCATGCATGCATGTATGCATGTATACACATACCTATATCTATATGTATATATATTTGTATATATATATATATATATGCATATATATATACATATATATCTATATTTATGTGTGTATCTGCACACTTGCCATTCCATTCCATTGCAAATGCATAGATATTATCAGGTATTTTCAGTTGTTTGGAGGATTAGCGTTCTCGCCTTTGGGGCCCCCGACGGCCCAAGACGGCCCCAGAGGCCTCCAAGATGGCCTCACGTAACCCAAGAGGCCCCCAATAGGCCCCCACGAGGACCCCCAGCATTGCCAAATGGGGGCCCCGTGACGGTCCTCAAAGGGGCCCGAGCGGGTCCTGGCGGCCTCCAGGGTCGCCTGAGACATCTCCAGAACGGCCCAAGACAGCTTCCAGATAGTCCACGAGGGCGTCCAGACGGCCCAACATGGCCCTAAGATGGCCCGATACGGCCTCAAGACGGCTCTGGGGGCCCCGAAGTCGGCCCAAGAGGGCTCCAAGAGGTGTCTCAGGAGGGTCCGAGGATGGCACACTCATCGATTTGCCAACAGTTTTTGAAGGACTTTGGCGTTCTCGCCTTTTCGGGTTTCCTACACGGTCCAAGAGTGCCCCAGAGGCCTCCAAGATGACCTCCACATAGCTCCAGAGGCCCCGAAGAGACTCCGTGGCAGTAGAGCACGGGTAAACACCAGGGGTCGACTTCAACTGTGTTTTGGCGATTTCGTGGTGGGCCGTTCTCGTTTCGATTTCGTTTTGCAGTAAAGGCTGATTGAAGACAAAACGAGGGAAAACGACAACAAACCGGCAACGAAAAACACTGTCTAGGGCGATCCCTGGTACACACCAGTCTAGCCTACAATACATCCTACAATGCCGGGAGCAGCGCGTGGTGCACTGCTCTGGTGGCAGCGCCCCTGGCGGCCTGCCAGGAGGGCCCGCTGGAGGGCCTGCGCCTCCCAGACGGCCCAAGCGAGTCCAAGAGGCCTCCACGTTCGCCGAAGATGCCTCCGAGACGGCCGATGACGGCCTCAAGATGGCCCAAGATGGCGTCCAGACGGCCTCAGAGGGCCCAAGACAGCCTAGGCGGGCCTCCAGACGGCCGCAATGCCTTCGAAAAGGCTCCCACAGCGCTCCAAGAGTGCGCCCAGCAGGGCCTTCCGATGCAACAATATGGTGCTTTCGAGCGTACCCGACTTTGGGGCCCTTGCAGCGTCCACGACGGCCCAACAGCTCCCAAGATCGCCCCAGGCAGAAGATCCCAGCGCGGCTCCAGAGAGCCCTAGACTGCTCAAGATGGCCCCCTCAGAGAGCTCCATCGAGGAGGCGGAGGACGAGGAGGAGGAGGAGGAGGCGGAGGAGGAGGAGGAGGAGGAGGAGGAGGATGAGGAGGAGGAGGAGGAGGAGGCGCCCAAGACGACCCAAGATGGCCCAGAGACCGGCCCCAAGAGGCCTCCCAGGTGCCAGCCGGAGGCGGCTCCACAGGGCCGCCCGTGGCGGCCCGGGGCCCTCCTGGCCATGCGCCTGGGAGCTGGGCCAGTGCTGGTAGCGGGCAGCGCGGTGCTGCCCGCCTAGCCTTGAGTCGGGCCTGTCCCTCTACAGGAGGAAAGCTTAGTCAAAAAATCGTATGGGGACGATTGGACTATTTTTCATTATTTCGGGTGTTTTTTTTTTTGACTATTTTCTATTTCTGCCCCAAAAAATCTGTCTGTAGGGGGACATGCCGTACCCAAGCCAAGCCATAGACAAAAGGCAAGGCCGCAGGTGCCCTGGCAAGGGAAGGCGGTCCGCCTCGGTCACACTGCCAGGGCACCTGCGGATTTGCTTCACGCGTACACACCAGTCTCTATTACAATGCAGGGGCAGAGGCGCCCAAGACGGCCCCGGGCGGCCCCAAGTCGGCCCTAGCGGCACCCAAGACGGCCCAAGGGAGCCCCAAGAGGCCCCCAGGAGGCCGAAAGGTGCCCCAGGGGCGCCGCAGGAGGCGTCCATGAGGCCGAAAAGAAGCTCCGAGAAGCTCCCGAACTATCCCTTGGAGAATGCGGTGCACCAGGGGGACCTGAAGGTCATGGGCGAAGTCCACGGGTTCGCCCTAGTCAGCTACAACGCCGGGATCAGCGCGTGTGGGCAAGGCGAGCAGTGGGATCACGCTCTGTGTCTTCTCGGCGAGCTGAGGGAGGCGAAGTTGGAGCCGAGCGCTACCAGCTACAACGCCGGGATCAGCGCGTGCGAGAAAGGCCGGCAGTGGCAGCGGGCGCTGGCTCTGCTTGAAGAGATCAAGGGGGCGATGCTTCAGCCTGACGTGATCTATGCTACAATGCAGGGCCCCGCGAATGTGAAAAAGGCGATTCGGTCCAAAATGGCGTAGCAGGCCCGTGCGAGCCCCAGCAGGCCCTGGCGCGCTCCGAGACGATCCCAGATGGCCCAAGAGCGCTCCGAGACGCCCCCAGAGGCCTTCACGAGGGCCCCAAGACGGCCCAAGAGGGCTTCCGAAAAGGTCCAAGAGCGCTCCAAGACGCCCAAGAGCTTCCCGACGGCCCAAGAGGCCTCCCAAGACGCTCCAAGTGGGCTCCAAGACGAGCCCCAAGAGAGCCGAACAAGGACAAATCGTCCCAATCCTCAGGGGAAACGTGCATTTTTGCAATTCCAGCGCTTTGCGTCCGCAACGCGTCCAAGACGGCCATACAGGCCCCCAATATCGCCCCAAGACGCCCCAAGAGGGCCTCCAGGGGGCCCCAGGACGGTCCCAGGCGGCTCCAGGACAGTCCAAGAGGCGCCCCGGACAGCCCAAGAAGGCTCGAAATACGACCCAAGACGGGCCCGAGACAGCCCTAGAGGCGCCCAAGACCGCCCTAAACGCCTTGAGACGGCCCAAGAGGCGCCCAAGACGGCCCCAAGAGGCCCAAAGGAGGCCTCCAAGTTCTTCCAAGAGACGTTCAAGAGGGCTCCCAGAAGCAAAATTCGTCCTAGTCCCAAGGGAAGACGCACAATTTTAACATAGATCGCCCCAAGACGCCCCGAGAGGGCCTCCAGTGGGCCCCAGGACGGTTCAAGGCGGCCCCAGGACAGCCCAAGAGGCACTCAGGGCAGCCCAAGAGGGCTCGAAGAGCGGCCCAAGGCGGGCCCGAGACAGCCCTAGAGGCGCCCAAGACCGTCCTAAACGGCCGAAGACTGCTCCAAGAGGCGCCCAAGACCCAAGAGGCCTCCAAGAGGCCCAAAGGAGGCCTTCAAGCCCCTCCAAGAGACATCCAAGAGTGCTCCCAGAAGCAAAAGTCGCCCCAAACCTTGGGAAAACGCGCAACTTTAACAGATTCGCTTTCCTCGTGTCCACGGCGCCCACGACGGCCATGCAGGCCTCCAAGATCGCCCCAAGACGCCCCAAGAGGGCATCCAGCGGGCCTGGAACGGCCCCAGGCGGCCCCAGGACAGCCCAAGAGGCGCCCGGACAGCCCACGAGGACTAGAAGAAGACGGGCCCGAGGCAGCCCTAGAAGCGACCAAGACCGCCCTAAACGGCCTAAGACTACCCAAGAGGCGCCCAAGACGGCCCCAAGAGGTCCCAAGAGGCCCAAAGGAGGCCTCCAAGCCCCTCCAAGAGACGTCCAAGAGGGCTCCCAGAAGCAAACATCGCCCCTAACCTTTTTGGATTTTAACAAATTCGCTTTCCTCGTGGCCACGGCGCCCACGACGGCCATACATGCCCCCAAGTTCGCCCCAAGACGCCCCAAGAGGGCCTCCAGGGGGCCCCAGGACGGTCCCAGGCGGCTCCAGGACAGTCCAAGAGGCGCCCCGGACAGCCCGTGAGGGCTCGAGGAGCGTCCCAAGACAGGCTCGAGACAGCCCTAGAGGCGCCCAAGACCGCCCTAAACGGCTTAAGACGGCCCAAGAGGCCTCCAAGCCCCTCGAAGAGACGTCCAAGAGGGCTCCCAGAAGCGAAAATCGCCCCTAACCCTTGGGAAAACATGTAATTTGAAACATGTTCGCTTTCCTCGCGTCCACGGCGCCCACGACGGCCATACAGGCCCCCAAGATCGCCCCAAGACGCCCCAAGAGGGCCTCCAGGGCCCAGGACGGTCCCAGGCGGCCCCAGGACAGTCCAAGAGGCGCCCGGGACAGCCCACGAGGGCCAGAAGAAGACTGGCCCGAGGCAGCCCTAGAGGCGCCCAAGACCGCCCTAAACGGCCTAAGACTACCCAGGAGGCGCCCAAGACGGCCCCAAGAGGCCCCCAAGAGGCCCAAAGGAGGCCTTCAAGCCCCTCCAAGAGATGTCCAAGAGGGCTCCCAGAAGCAAACATCGCCCCAAACCTTGGGAAAACGTGCAATTTCAACATATTCGCTTTCCTCGTGTCCACGGCGCCCACGACGGCCAGACAGGTCCCCAAGATCGCCCCAAGACGCCCCAAGAGGGCCTGCAGGGGGCCCCAGGACGGTCCCAGGCGGCCCCATGACAGTCCAAGAGGCTACAAGGGCTAGACGAAGACGGGCCCGAGGCGGCCATACAGGCGCCCAAGACCGCCCTAAACGGCCTAAGACTGCCCAATGGGCGCCCAAGACAGCCCCAAGAGGCCCCCAAGAGGCCCAAAGGAGGCCTTCAAGCCCCTCCAAAAGTCCAAGAGGGCTCGCAGAAGCAAACATCGCCCCAAACCTTGGGAAAACGTGCAATTTCAACATATTCGCTTTCCTCGTGTCCACGGCGCCCAAGACGTTCATACAGGCCCCCAAGATCGCCCCAAGACGCCCCAAGAGGGCTTCCATGGGGGGCCCAGGACGGCCCCAGGCGGCCCCAGGACAGTCCAAGAGGCGCCCAGGACAGCCCACGAGGACTAGAAGAAGACGGGCCCGAGGCAGCCCTAGAGGCGCCCAAGACCGCCCTAAACGGCCTCAGACTACCCAAGAGGCGCCCAAGACGGCCCCAAGAGGCCCCCAAGAGGCCCAAAGGAGGCCTTCAAGCCCCTCCAAGAGACGTCCAAGAGGGCTCCCAGAAGCAAACATCGCCCCAAACCTTGGGAAAACGTGCAATTTTAACATATGGTTTGTGCTTGCACGTGAAGGAAGTCAAGAGGGGTTTTCATTATGTCGCCCCTTTGGCTCCGCTCTCTCTTGCATCGCATAGCTTCTCTGGTCGAGAGTCGATGGATGGGGTCGCCATCCCTGGTGGGGCGGCCGCGCTGCCGGCCTGGGTGGTGCTGGCGCTGGAGGCTGCGGCTTACCTTCGGCCAGGGTGGGGCCCGGCGCAGGCGGCCTGCCCTGACCTCTCGTGCCCCGCCTGTCCTGCGTGTCCAGAAGCGGCGGCCTGCCCAGAGGCCGCGGCCTGCCCGGCTTGCGAGCCGCCTCCCTGCGCGGCTTGCCCGGCCTGCGAGCCGCCGCCGTGTGCGGCCTGCCCGGCCTGTGAGGCGGAGGCGTGCCCGGCGGCGTCGTCGGGCGAGAAGGCGGCTGAGAAGCTCGCTGGAGCGCTGCTCGGAGGCCTGGTGCACTGGCTGGTGGGGAAGGTGTTCGCTCGCAGGCATGGCGGCGCTCGTGGGGTGGTTCCGCGGCGTCGTGGGGCGGGAGTGGTGGACTAGAGCGCTCCCAGCGGAGCGCGGGGTCTGCCGAATCGCCGACGACGACGACGACCACGAGCGGGTGCTGCTGCATTACGTGGCGGAGGGCGAACGGGTCATCCTGTCCCCAGAGGGTGGCATCTACGCGGAGGACATGAGCTGTGGTAGCGCCGAGACCGGGCCTGCCCGATCCTTCCTGCTGGCGCTGCAGATGAGCAGGATGCGGAGGCTGTATCGCTTCGAGGAGGCGCTGGGGCCCGAGAAGCGGGCCGATGCGTTGACGCGGGGCCGTCAGGCGGCGCTGGATGTAGAGGCGGCGTTGCCTGAGCCGAGGGAGGCCGGGGCCGTGAGCGGCCAGCGGGTCTCGCGGCAGGAGGCCGCTGGCAATCTGTTGGCCGCGGAGCGGGGCTGCCTGCTGCGCCTGGGCGTGGCCGTGGCTCTCCTGGGCGGGACGCTGCTGGAGGCTCCTGCTGTGGGTCATGCTTGGGTCGGCCGCAGCGGCGGGCCCGGCGTCGCGATCGGGGCGGAGGTCGGCGTGGCGAAGACCGAAGGCCTGAGCTTCGAGGACGGGCCCGAGCCGTTCGGTGTGCTGAGGGCCGCCGACGGTGGCACGGGGCGATTCGGCCGGCTGGACGCGGGGTGGGTCCCTGGGCGCCTGGCCGAAGAGAGTGCATTCTGGCATGATCTAGGCAGGGGCCAGGCGCGTGCCATGGGCCCCGAGCGCCGACGCGCTGCGGCCGCGGCGCCACTCGAGGATGAGGAGCCCGCCGAGCCCATGGGCGGCACGGCTACGCCCGGGCTGGCGCCGCCGCCCCTGGCGGAGCCGCTGGGCGAGCAGCGTGACGCCCTCGCCCGCGCGCTCGGGGGCGTCTACGACGAGCAGGGCGGACGGATCAGACGATGGTGGGACGTGGTAGGCGAGTCGAGGCAGGGGCGCCGCCCAGGCGCACAGGTGGGCGGACCGCCTGGGGCTCTCCACAAGTGCAAGTACATGGGGAGGCACGGTGGCGACCCGCGCCTCTGGGCCGACCTCGCCATGCGCGTGAGGGGCCTTGGGCAGAATGACTGCGTGGTGCACAAGCTGAGGACGATCGTGGAGGCCTTGTACCAGGGCTTGTTATGTGACCAGCTGAACATGAGCGGCCTTATGATGGTGGAGGAGATGACTCGCCGCGTGACCGCCATGGTGGAAGCCTACGCAGACCCGCCCAAGCCGAGCTGGAGGAACGCGCGCATCTTCGCGGACGTGAGCTCGGACAAGGACGTCTCGGGGCCAGAGCTCAGGGGCTACATCCACCGGCGGGCGAAGAAGCCGCACGAGGTGGAGCAGGCGCAGAGTCGGGCGTGCACGCTACGCGGGGCGCCTACAGGGACCGTCGGCGGAGCAGAAGGAGCTGGAGGCGACGCAGCAGGTGCGGGGCGTGGTGGCGGCCGAGGCGGCCGCGGGCGCGGCCGGGCCAGGGGCGTCGCCTCCGCGGGGCCATGACGGCCCCCGGGCCCGGGGGGGCCAGCCCCTCCCCCGGGCCCTTTTTGCCGGGGCACGACGGTGGCCGCCTGCCGCCCTCGCGTGGAGCCCGCAGCTTCCTGCCGCTCCCGCTGCTGGGCGACGCTGGCCGCCGAATTCGCGGCAGGTCTGGCAGAGCGAGGCAGTTCGGTCGTGAGAATCGGATTGCGCTGGAGGTCAACGGTATCGTCGATGCCGTTAACTGGATGTCGGGGTGCAACTCGCTTCCTGGCCCAGCCAATGACATGCAGCGGGATGT